GCGGAGGTTGGGGGGGGGGGGAGGAGGGGGGAATAAAAAGAAAGGCGGGGCTTCTTGCCAAGATAGGCGGGAGGCTGGGCCAATCGGAGAGGACGAATGGGAGGCTCGGATTGAAGTGCTTCGCCAATCAGACAGGGTGGGCGGAAGACAAAGCAGAAGGGCTGCGAGGGCGCTGAGGCTGGACGTTAATCAGCTTGCAGCAGCGGGCAGGACGTGGGGGCAGCGTGCCCACCATCCTGTGGGGAGTGCGCCCTCGCAGGCAGCGCTCAGTCTCTTACACCACACACGCAAAAAGCACCCGGGGACAGGCTGCCCGGGCCTGGAGAGTGAAGGGGCTGAACTAGCCGGGGAATGTCCCACTTCGGGTCCCTGGTTCGCCGGGACGTTAATCAGCTTGCAGCAGCGGGCAGGACGTGGGGGCAGCGTGCCCACCATCCTGTGGGGAGTGCGCCCTCGCAGGCAGCGCTCAGTCTCTTACACCACACACGCAAAAAGCACCCGGGGACAGGCTGCCCGGGCCTGGAGAGTGAAGGGGCTGAACTAGCCGGGGAATGTCCCACTTCGGGTCCCTGGTTCGCCGGGGCACTATGACTAGGTTCATGTCTCTTCTTACAGGACGCGCATAAGTATTTTTCCCACCGTGCAATGAGATAGGTAGTGCATAGTTTGCTTTTGTCCTCCTCGCCCCCGACCCTTAGAGATCCACGTGTAGCTCTGCTATTCCTCAGCTTCGGGTATATACCACAAAATGAGACAGTGAAAATGATTAATATGAAACGATACTCCGTTGCTGAGGCAAGGATGCCCAAAGCCCTATGTAATAATGTAATGAAACACTATCCCAGTGCATGTAGAGTTACAGCTGTCTCGTTAAAATGTGCGTTTGTGTTTACTTGCCTGACTTGAGTTCTTTAACTTCTTTTGCTAACGTCACCAATGCAGGGTTTTTTTACGAAAATTCTTTGAAATAAAACTTCTGTAACATTTTTTAAAAATTCAGTCTGAAGGCATTAAGCTGGACAGCACAGGGATATCTAGTACTATGCAAGGACAACACTAAACCCTAATCCCAGGTTTGGATGTTTATTGATTTCAATGCGATTCCATGGAAGCACCCTCCGCACAGAACAAGTTGCTGAATTCTGGTCTGTATTAGGTAAGTGGTTATGAAGAGTGCTGCTTTAATCAAAGCACATTTTAGATTTTCACATTTATGGAGGTAGAGCTATTCACTATGTACCATACAATAAAAGTACAAGACAATGCTTTGGTAAATTTTTGAACACACCACTAAGTAAACAAGTATGAATTCACATTAGCCTGTCTGTGTTCACTGAGAACATTACATGATTTACTTTTTAAATATAACTATCATAAAGGTTTGCAGGGAAGAGACTGCACTAACACAATTCTCCTTCAATTCTTTGTGGGTTGTTTATGGCTCTATCTGCTGCCCAAATAGTAGGTGGGACCAGAACCCCTTCTTAAGACTAACATTTTATCTCTTCTGAAACATGCAGACTAATTAGAGATCAAGAATGTACAAAAACATCACTCTGCAGGAGAGTTCAACACCAGATAATTTCTTAAAGCCCACTTTTTAATGACATTACAGATCTAGTCTGCAGCCTTGCAAAGATGCATGTGCTTAACTTTAACTACCTGAGTACTCCTACTGCATTCAGCTCTGCACATCCTTAGAAACAAAACTCATAGCATTCAGTAATGCCAAATTCTGTCCATGACTTGTCACTTTGTTTTATAGTCAGTCACACTGCAGAATGGCATTGTGAGTGCTGATGTACCCAAACCCACTAAATATCTAGTAGTGTGCTCTGCATAGCGCAAGGTAGGAACGTAGTCTTTATACACTCTCTATATAAGAGTTTATGGAGACCCATCATGCTTTATAGCAGTAGTTCTCAACCTGAGGGTTGCTTGTAGTTCAGTCAGCACACAACTGCGATCCTTGTGACATCCTCATATGTACAGGATATGTATATATTTGGGTGGATGTGGCCCACATAACACAGAAAGAGCTACATATGTGGCCCACTTGCTAATAGTTTGAGAATCATCTCTCTAGAGAGAATTACCTTACAAAGCTGCCGGAAACTAAAAGGGGGAAATACCCTATCACAATTACTTTAACTGCTACAATGGAGATCATTGCAGTTCAATCCAGTCCAGTAAAGGCTACTAAGGACTATATACTCCATAGTAATACAAATAATAAAATAATAAGTCTCAACTTGCTTGCTACGGATATTTCCTCTAATCCCCCCTCATTCCCATGACCACTGAAGCGAGAGCCTAACTCTTCTGTCTCCTGTTGGCACTGTCAGCACTGTCATCCTGATGGGATTTTTTCCTCTCTGTGGGGTCAGTGTTTTAGCAGTAGATTGGTCACATGCAGTTGTCCCACGTCTACTGTTTGTAGGCCACTGCCCTATATCTTGGAGTGGCAGCCACCTCTGTTCTTCTCAGCTCTCATTTTTCCAGTCTTCTACTTCTCCCCTACCTACTATTGCTCCTTCTCACATGCAGCCATCAGCTTTTCCCACCGCATCAGGGTTTTATTTCCTTTTTCTGTTCCCCTAGCACTATGGAGTAGAGCATGGACGGCAATTGAACATTATGCCATGGGGGGAGGCTAGTCCCCAGTTCCTCCTCCTGTTCCAAAGCCCACTCCTCTCATCCCCTTCCATCCCTCCTCCTCCACTGGAGTCCAAACACATCCTTGCCCCTGCACACAGCTGCCGGCCCCCTATGCACTGCCCCTGCATGCTGCACAGGCAGCACATCCAGAACACTCCCAGTATACCAGGCAGACAGTGTGGCAGGCCACACTGAAACAAAATACAGGACTATGTAGCACTTTAAAGACTAACAAGATGGTTTATTAGATGATGAGCTTTCGTGGGCCAGACCCACTCTGGCCCACAAAAGCTCATCATCTAATAAACCATCTTGTTAGTCTTTAAAGTGCTACATAGTCCTGTATTTTGTTTCAGTGTGGCCTGAGTGTAACCCCAGCATGCTGAGCAACTAACACATCCAGAGGAGCCCCAGTCCTGGAGCATTGGGTGGGCAGTGCGGTCCCAGGGCCAGGCATGATGTGACTCCAGCCTTGGGTTCTTGTGTGCGCCAGCCTCAGCCTGCTTTCCGCAGCCTCTACACCATAGAAGAATAGGAAGGGACGAGAAGGCAGGAGGGGACCTGTGGATGGAGCCATGCCACACGGTTTGGGGAAGCGAAGTATTTCTCTGCCTATGCTACTTGCTGCATGTGGAATAGAGCCTTGAAGCCCGAGATGATCTTAGTAGGTCCTGACTAAAGTGTTGGGTCTGAATCAAGTGGGAAAGCAACCAGGTCAGATTGGATTTCTTCCTGCTGGTGCTGCTTTAGCAACAGCTTGCCCCACTCCTGCTGGTCACTGTCCCCTTGCAATTCTTTGTGTCCTATACCTTGGAGATAGAATCCTGTCCTCCCACACAATCTATACTGATATTCCATTTGAAAAGCCTATTAAATTAGGCTTTGTTTAAAGAACCAGATTTGGCCTTCATCCTCATCTTCATCATCCTTCTCCACTGCCACACCCTCTGGGAGGCTGAGGACAGGCATCTCCAGTTGGAATCAATGACAAGGCGAGGGGAAGCAAACTGCTCCCCCTCTCAATATATCATCCAGCTGGGTGAAGAAGCGTGAGGCCTGGGGTGCTGTTTCCAACCAGGAACTCCTTTCCCCGGCATTGGAATAGGCTTGGTGGAGCTCCTTCATCTTCGTTCTCACCTGGTCCAGAGTGCAGCTATGCTCCCTCTGGACCAGGTTTTAGCCATGAGGCTGTACACCTTGACATTTCACTGTCTGACGTGGAGATCCTGGACGTTGGACTGCTCAATGAGATCCAGGATCTCTGCATCAGTCCGCAAAGGCACCCTCCTCTTTCAGCCCCAGGTGGGGGCTTGAGAGCTGGCTGCAGCTGGGCTGGCAACCATGAAGGCCTCAGATTGAGTGCTGGGGTCTGTTATGGCAGAAGTAGGGTAGAGCTGGCTGCAGCTGGGCTGGCAACCATGAAGACCTCAGATGGAGTGCTGGGGTCTGTTATGGCAGAGGTAGGGTAGAGAAGGGCGCAGCTGTGTGCCACAAGCCCTTTCCCCTATGGTTGCAGCTTTA